CCGGGGATTGCAGCTCTGCTAGGCCGGGGCAGCGTGTGCAGCAGGATGTGAGCAGCATCGCAATCACAGCCTGCACCTCGTTGTGCTGCAGAGCGCTGCAGCGGGGCTGCCGCAGCCCCAAGCCTGCGGCACGGGGAGCCCCGCATCCCGGAGGGCAGCGCTGCGCTGGATGCCCGAGGACGTGGGTGCTGGAGGGGGGGGTTGGCTTGGCCGGGTGCCCGGCACTGGGCGCTGCCCGCTCTGTACCACACGTCTGGGTGCAGAGTGGGTGCCACGGGCTGCATCACAGCAGGGTGCTCCCGTGGGGTCCCCCCACCCCATGGCACTGCACACCCCGCTCACACCCTTGCTTTGCACCCCATGTCCTTGCTGCACACCCATGGGAGCTTGCAGGGTGCCGGGGGCCTGGACCCCCCTGCCCTGTGTCTGTGGGCGCGGGGCAGAGCCAGGACTCGCCCTGCCCCAGACCCGGGGTGCAGGATCTGGCACCTGGGGGGCAGGAGGGGGGCACTGCCCTGTGCCCGGAGCCCCCGCAAAGCCGCTGCCTTGCAGCTCTTGGGTGCTGTGGCTTGGGGTGAGGGGCAGGCGGGAGCATCCCCCACCGTCGGTGCTCAGCCCTGCCCAGCCTTTTCCTTCTTCCCAAAGCCTGCAGAGCTTGTCCCCGTCCCGCTTTGGCGGAGATTGCCGTTTGCACAGAAATACAGGTCAGGTCGGGGAGCCAGCGTTGCAAAAACGCTGCTTCACCTGCAGCGAGCTGGAAAGCGTCCAGACTGCCCCAGGCAGCATCTGCCCGCCTGCCTGCGGCTCCTCCGGCAGCTTTGCTTTCCTTCTAGCAAACCCCAGCGCCGTGACGGGGAAAAACCCCCTCGTGTTGCTCTTCTTGCAGCAAAAGCCCCACTTGGAAGTGCTCTGGCTGCCCCACGAGGGTAAAAACCCTGTCCAAGGGGTGGTTTTATGGGGTGAGAAGCAGCTGTGAGATCATAGCAGGGCTGCAGGGAGCTGCTGGCCACATGGCAAGCAGGGGACAGCATCCTGTCCCGGTCCCCATCCCTGTCACCCCATAAAAAGGGGCAGCGAGGCAAGCCCTTCTTCCCAGCGGGCTGGCTTGCAAGGATGCCCACAGCTCCCAGTGCCACCCAGTGCCGCCTGGCCCTTGGAGTGTTGAGCTGCTGGCATCAACAGCGACTCCAGCAGATGTGGAAAAATGAAAGCAGGCCGGGTGTCTTTGGCTGCTGGAAAGCTTTGGGGAGCCCTCGTAGTCCTCTGCATTAAATAACCCTCAGCAGGGTGGGGGGTTAAATACAGCAGCTCCCCATTCACCCCGAGCAGGACATGGTGGCTATGGGGCACCTCCAGCATCTTGCTCCAGCCCCCAGAGCCATCCGCTGCCGTGTAACAGGGAGTTGGTCGCCGTGTCGTGGCCATGTGATGCTGATTTTGGTGTTTGCGGCAGTTGCAGCCACTCCATGGAGCATGAAGGTGGCCGTGTCTGAGGTCCAAGGGCAGGAGGAGGAGCTGGTAGAGTGTGGAGAGCCTCTTAGATACTCAGCATGTTTGGGGGGCTCCATGAGAGCAGGTCCAAGCAGGTTGACCTCCACAGACGTCCAAGATGGATAAATCTGCAGGAGGAGCTGGTGATCGTGGTCCATGCTGGTCTCAGAGCTGCAGACTGGGGAGGAGGGATGCTCCTGAGGTCCAGGACCTTGGTCATTGCATGCTCTGAGTTACCATGTCCTGCACATGAGCCCTGAGGTCAGGCAGGGATCTGGTGTTGCCTTGGGTGGAGGGACCCTGCGGTGGCCTCTGGGGACATGGCTGACACCGCAGAAGCAGCCCTGGGCATCCTCCTTGGCTGCACTGCAGGATGTACCCAGCCAAGATGAGTCCCGCCTGGATGAGTCCCTTCTGATGCCGTCAAAGTCCTTCATCCGCCGTGGGCACAGAGCAGGACCGGGCCGCAGCATCCTCCCGAGACCTTTGGGGCTGGGACTGGGGGGGGGACTGCAAGAAAAACCTGGGAGGCCCGAAAGAGGCTCTGGGCAGATACGGAGATGTTGGTGTCTTGGCTGGTCTCATCCAACCGTCTTCATGCCCGGTGTGATGAGGCCATTGCTCCATCCCCTTGCTGCTGCGCTGTGTGAGCGTGAGCACTGATCCTCCGCCGCCTTCGTGCTCCGACACGGGGGGACGGGAGTGGTGGGGCTGCCCCAGGGATGGCATTTTCTGGCCCATTGTCAATTCTGTGTCCTGGCCAAGTTGCAGGGTGATAACTTCAAGCAACCAAAATTCCTGGCCCAGGTCCCCTAAAGCACGACCTCAAACAAAACTGTGTCTCTGGGGTTTGCTTGTTTTGCCTCCTGCCTTTCATGAAACTTTTGTGGCATCAGGAAGATGCTGAGCTCATTAAAAACACGGGGAACAAGAGCAATCGGTGCATCCCGTAGCCGTTCGACTGCAGGGCCTGGCTATTGGAGCAGCTCTCGGAGATGCCTGCAAAAAAGTGTCTGCAAAACCTCTGTCAGTGGGCACCAGCAGGGTTTTCCAGCTAAGCATTGCCTTTGCTGTTGCAACTTGGCCTCCAGTTTGGTGCGTTTGCAATAAATGGGTGTTTTGTGCTGGGCTGGGGGCTCCCAACCCTCCCGGACAAACTGCAGCATGGGGAGTCACTCCTTGCGCTTTGCAAGTGACTTTCTGATACACGTGGCTGTGGAAAACAGGGTTTCAAAATCCAGGGAGGACCCCAAAAATAGCCCCCAAACCAGATAAAAAATAGCTCCCCACCTGCAGAAGGGTTATTTACTGCAGCTCTTTCCTCTGCCTGGCCGGGATGGATCCCAGCAGCTCTGCCTCCAAGAGCTTGATCCTAAAGGAGCTCACACCAAGTTTTACTCCCAGTTTGAGATGTTGCCTGGCTTGCGGCGCATGGAGATGTGTGTGGGGAGAGAACGAACCCACCCGTGAACCAGCAAAGGGGTTTCTCCAGCCACCCCAACGCCTGCGCGGCTGCCGGGGGTCCTGCTGCTCCCAGCAGTGCCGGTGACGGATGCCTTTCTGTTTGCCCTAACTTTGTGTTCCCACTGCAAATGCTGCTGTTGGAAGGGATGAAGGATGAACCGAGAGGTGATGATCCCGGCTAACCCGGCGCTGGGATGCTGCGGGGAGGGGTTGTGCCACAGCCCAGATGGGCTCCTGGGCCTGGTGCAGGGCTGGGGACCTTCCCCCAGGGAGCAAGACCTGCCACCAGCCTGGTTTTTAAGTCAACCAGATGCCGCTGGCAGCCCTGGAAGCCTCGTCCCTGCCGTTGGTGCCTGTAGCTTTTCCTAAGCAGAGATGTTGGGGTGGCGAAGCCTGCGCTCGCGGCAGGGACCTTGACGGGTAGGAGTCGCGTAATTAGCCCGTTCCGGTGTGAGAAGGGCTGCCGCTGCCGCTGCCTCCCGTGGGGTCTCCCCGTCCCCCGCCGCTGTCCTCCCCCCAGCACTGCCCCCAGGAGCGGCGCAGGAGGAAGGTGTGCGGAGCTGAGCGCTGGGTAATGCAGTGCACGATTCACCCGGGAGGCCGCTGGAGACAGCACGGCAGTGCCGTTTCGGGGCAGGAGCACCCCCAGGTCTCGCTGGCTGACTTTTTGAGGTGAGAACGCCCCTTTTCCGCTGCTGCGGGAAGGATGGAGGAGCAGCCAGCACCGGGGGACGATGCTCTGGATGAGGAGGCCTCACCGAGCAGGCAGAAGAGATGCAGGAAAGGGGGTTCCCCCCATGCCAGATCTCATGTGCCCCCAAAAAATTCCTTCCTCGGTTATCTGCCCTCCTGCTCAGCTCTTTGCTTCCCCCACTGGAGAACCTTTTATTGTCCTTAACTCTACCAGCACCATTAATTCCCTTGGCTTCTTGCCTGCTCTCATCTTCCCTTTGCAGGCTTGCCTTCTGCTGAGTTAGAGGGGCATTTCTTGGGGTCCAAAGCTGGGTCATGGAGGCACTTTGGGTCCAGAGCTGGGTTGTGGAGGCACTTTGCACCATCTTTGCTTGCAGGAGTGAACGCCACACTTGCAAGGCTGTGGGGTGGGTGTCCCCATCCTTGGGGGCTGCTTCAGACCCCACTGGGCAGGGGCTGGGGGTGCTGGGCACGGGGGGCTGTGCTGCGGCCCTGGCAGTGAACCAAGCACCTTTCCTGTGCCCCGTCAGGGAGCGGGGCTGGTTGGGGAGCTGGGATCTGCAGGGTGGGCGGACAGGAGCCTCGAGCCACCCAGGACACGGTACCCGTGACACAGTGAAAGGGCTGACCCTTTGATGTGCACGCTGAGCCCTCCATGGCTATGTAGAGCTGGCTCTTCCCTGCTTTCATCCGTCCTCAAAAACATGGCCTGCAAAAGCTCCCTGGGGCTGGAGGAAGAGCAATGTGCTGCTCCTGTCCCGTTCCCATCCTTGGAAGCTCTCCCAGGGCTGGGAGCAAGTCCGGAGGGTCCCACACCAGCGCTGGGTCCCTGCATAAAGCGACATCTGGCTGCTGTCATGTGTTGGGTCTGTGGGGTCCCTGCCTGAGAAAAGGGAGAGGCAGGGTGCTGGCTTTGTCCAAACTAACCTTGCTCATCTCTCCTGGGGATGCAAACACCCCTTCCCCCATCCCATGGGGCCTTGCTGGGCAAACCTTCCCCTGGGAGTGTCCTCAATGTCCCCAGGAGGCTCTGAGCTGGCACCAGCATTGATGTGATGGCTGGGTGATGCTCCTGCTGGCTTTGGAGATGTCAAGGGTCAGGAAACGTGGGGTCGACTGGGCTTCCCATTGCTTGTGAGGGAACCCAGGTGTCTGGACCCTCGTGTCCTTCACAACCATTGGGCTCTACGCCCCTCTGGCAGAAGATCAAACGCCCTGTTGTAGCCCAGTGCAGATGTCCTCGGTGCAAATGGCTGCTCAGGGGCGCAGCCTGGGCACGGGGAGGGTGTGGGCAGCAGGGACCTGGGTGGTCACCAAGGTGATGTTGTGTTTCAGGGAGCCCCTGACCCACCATGACGTTCAAGCAAGCGTCCATGATGGCCCCGGAGGCCACGGCCACCACGATGCCCATGGCCACGATGGATAACTCCACCGAGGCTGCGGGGCCGGGTGAGACCAAGGAGGACATGTTCACCAAGCTGAGGAACAAGTTCATGAATGAGCTCAACAAGATTCCCCGTGAGTAGCTGCCTCCTTTTCCAGGTATCACCCTCCTCTTGACCCCACCACCGCTTGAGTCCCAGGGCAGCATGTCGGACAAGGCGGTGGGGTGGCTGGGAGGGAGCTGTGGGGCTGACGATACCGGCTTTTGCCTGCAGTGCCACCTTGGGCCCTCATCGCCATCGCGGTGGTAGCTGGACTCCTCATCCTTACCTGCTGCTTCTGCATCTGCAAGAAGTGCTGTTGCAAGAAGAAGAAGAACAAGAAGGAGAAGGGCAAAGGCATGAAGAATGCCATGAACATGAAGGACATGAAGTCAGGCAACCAGGTGACGTCCTTCTGGACTGCTTGGCCTTGTCCTGCGCTTGGTGTTGTAGGACGATCCCTCCCGGTTGAGTTATGGACCATGTCAGGGCACTCGCAGCTCAGGCGGCAGAGGGGGATGGAGCCACCAGGATCCCAGGATGGAACAGTGCAGACATGAGCCTGGAGCTGAGACAGCAGCACTGTCCTCCTCCAGTGCCACGTGGCCCGGACGGAACCAGGCTCAAGCTGGCCTGGACCTGCCAATGCTTCACCCGAACCAGCAAATGTTAATTTAATCCTTTATGTCTCCCCGCCTTCCTCGGCGTCACCCTCATTTCACTGAGCTGTGCTTTTAGCCGAGAGGCGAGGACCACCAGGCCAAAACGCTCACCAGCTTGAGCCGGTGATCAAGAGGCAGGTTCTGGTGCAGGGAGTGGAGCTGGGACTGTCTCCCCATCCTGGTGGGGCCAGCAGGACGGAGGCTTTGGTACCAGTGGGCTTGGGACGATCCCCGCCATTTCAATGGCCCTGACCCAGGGCCATTTGGAGGGGGAGGGAGATTTTGTGTGTCTGTTCCTGCTCTTCAGAGCCACCTGGGCACCACGGGCATGCAGGCAGGGCTGGAGAGATGAGCACTGAGTGGAAATGCTCCATCATACCTGCCTGTCTGCGCACCCCTGCGGTGGTGGGAGATGTGGGGTGGGATTCCTTGATGGAAGGTGAGGGCTGCCATCCCCTGGGGCTTGGCGGGGCCGTACAAACCCCGATTCCCCACCTCGCTGTGGGTCCCTTGTCGATGCTCTCTGTAACATGGCTCTCTTCCCTCCCGCTGCTCTCGCCGTCCTCCCTCCCTGCTGCCCTGTCTGCGTGTTCCCTCTCCGCCCTGGGACGCTCTCCATGGTAGGTGCCACCATGAGCCTCCTTCTCCATCAGCTGCTTCCAGGTTGGGACAGGGGACCTGGGGACACATCAGGGAGGTGATAAGGAGCTGGGGCTCCCACCCCGTGGACCATGGCTTGGAGAGGCGTGGAGAGGGGTGGCTTTGCCTTAGACATAGGAGAATTATGTTGTATCTCTATGATGAATTAATAAAATGGCCCTGCTAAGCCCTTAGCACCAGCTGCAGTGCTCCCCCCAGCATGGGCTGTGGGGGTAGAGTATCCCTGCACCCTTTGCAGTAGGTTGCTTGCCTGCAGCCCCTTGATACAAGCACCAAACTTCCCCCCCACTGGAGTAGACCCCGCATCCCAGTGCCCCAAGGCAGCCACCCACGCTGTCTTGGCTGGACCAGCCCCAAGCAGCCCGGGGGCTTCCCGGCAGATGCGTGGTTGTGGGCAGAGCCGGTGCCACCCCAGGGCTGCTCTACCAATGCTTTATGTCCCCAGTGAGGGGGGGGTGGGTGGTCCCCTTGCCCCTCATGGGGAGAACCCAGGGGGTTGAGAAGCCAGTAGGGTTGGGGTGCTGGAGGTCCCCAGTGGTGTGGGGACAGGGGTGCTGGGCTGTGACCCTGCCGCTGAGCTGGGCACCTTGGCTGCCGTTGCAGGACCAACAGGACGACGATGACGCAGAGATGGGTCTGACAGAGGGGGAAGGCGAAGAGGAGGAGAAGGAGCCGGAGAACCTGGGCAAGCTGCAGTTCTCGCTGGACTATGATTTCCAGGCAAACCAGGTGATGGAGGGGCTGGGGCTCGGCTGAGGAGTTGGGGGAGTGGGGTTTGCCCAGGGAGGGTATTTGAGAGGAGAAGTCTCCCTGTTGGACCTGGGTGGCACAGGAGGAAGCAGGGAGCTGGGTGCTGTGCCATGGGGAGCCCTGCCCCACGCTGGGCTGGAGACAAGCCCTTGGCATCTGCAGCACGTGGCTGGGCCATCTCGCTGAAGACACCCCTCTCCCCCCTCCAGCTGACAGTAGGGATCCTCCAAGCTGCCGAACTGCCAGCTTTGGACATGGGTGGCACCTCAGACCCATACGTCAAGGTGTTCCTGCTCCCTGACAAGAAGAAAAAGTACGAGACCAAAGTCCAGAAGAAGACACTCAACCCTGCCTTCAACGAGACCTTCACCTTCAAGGTGAGCTGCTTCCTACCCATAACATGGGACCTTGTCTCCTACCACCATCTTCCTCCCTGACTGTCTCCTGGTCCCATGCTTTGACCCTCGCTGCTGGGAGTGGGTGGTCCTGGCTTGGGCTCCTCTGAGCTCATTTCCATCCTGGTGGCCCTCTTTGTGCAGGTCCCCTACCAGGAACTGGGTGGGAAGACGCTGGTGATGGCCATCTACGACTTCGATCGCTTCTCCAAGCACGACATCATTGGCGAGGTGAAGGTGCCCATGAACACAGTAGACCTGGGCCAGCCCATCGAGGAGTGGCGGGACCTGCAGAGCGGCGAGAAGGAGGAGGTGAGAGCGGGGCTGGCGCAAGGCCCTTGGCCAGTGGAAACCCTTGGCCAGGGGGGCTGAGATGTGCTCTGCTTTCTGAGCTGTTCCACAGTGCTCGGGATGGTGATTGCTGTGGGGTCCCACCTGAATGCCATGCGTGTCTGGCCATGAGCGCTGGGCAGGATCTGCCCCTGTCGTTCCCCTGCGCAAAAGCCTTTCTCTAACAAAAATGAAGAGTTTAAATGTCTCGGGTGCTGCACTGGGACTGGCCTGCCCCAGACCCAAGTGACCAAACCCTTGTGCCAGTGCACGGGGTGCCAACTCATGCCTGCATCAAAAGTTGAGCAGGGTTTGGGGGGGACCTGCATACGGGACCTTGTCCCAACATTGCAGTACAATGCACTGGCAAGGCTTTGATATCTGCTCCCTGCTCCACTTGGCAGCCAGAGAAGCTAGGAGATATCTGCATCTCCCTCCGGTACGTGCCCACGGCCGGGAAACTCACTGTCTGCATTCTGGAGGCCAAGAACCTGAAGAAGATGGATGTCGGGGGTCTCTCAGGTGGGCGTCGGCTCGTGGGCATCCTCCTCCCGCCCTGCCATGGGGCTCTCGGCATCCTTTGTTGGAGAAGGACACTGGGGCCATCAGCCTGGCAGGGCTCAGGGAAACCCCCTCCAGTGCCTGGGACCTCCTGCATCGGAGGCAGCCCAAGGTCTGGCTCGGGGGTGAGGGGAGATGGGCATGGGCTGAGCCCCCTGACCCTTAGGACATATTGAATTTGGTCCACCACTGTGTCCCGGGCCAGGGCGCTGCAGGACCTGGGTGGTGAAAATGCTCCTCTGCCATTTGCTTCTGGTCCTGTCCTTGACTTGGGGCTGAGGACCTCAGTCGACAGCATGTTTTATGCTAGAATAGTCTTCCCATCTCCGTCCCAGGGCTGAGCTCTCTTCCCAGGTGTCCTCAGCTCTCTCCAGACCTGCCTAACCAGGAGAAGAGCAGTGCCTGCGTGGCTGGAAGGGTTCAGCTTTATTGCTGGGGTGTCCTGCTCCAGAAACAGGGGTGACAGGCCAGCACCTGGCGGTGTAACGCCACAGTCTCCAGCCCTCCTACAAGGAGGATGCAGAAGAGCTCCATCCCTTGGCCAGTTGCTCCCACAAATCCTCTCCAGCCCAAATATTTTGTCTCTGGCCTCCATCCACAAACCTCAGAGCACCTTTACTCAGGGAGGCCTCCTTACCCCATGGTGCACCTCATCCTGGGCTGACTTCTCCTGGGCACCTCAGCCCTGGCTGATGCACCTTCCTGCCCCCCAGATCCGTACGTGAAGATCCACCTGCTGCAGAATGGCAAGAGGCTGAAGAAGAAGAAGACCACAGTCAAGAAGAAGACCCTGAACCCCTACTTCAACGAGTCCTTCAGCTTTGAGATCCCCTTCGAGCAGATACAGGTTTGTCCGATGACTTCCCTGGGAGGCAGGCAGGCAGGGCAGGGGTGATGAGAGAAGTCCCGCAGCTGCCCGAACCCATGTCCCAACCTTCCCACCAGCCTGAGCAGCTCCTGCCGAGCTTCTGGTCTGGTCACCCATAAAACAGGTCCAGTCCCAACCTGGGCCTGGGCTGATGGTGCGGGCAGCTGGTGCAGGGGCTGGGCAGCACCCATGGGAGATGTAACTCCCAACCCCAGCTTGCAGAATAGGGCTTTCCTCTGCTCCTGGCCCTACAGTGGTCGCCCCAGGTGTGGCCGGGCCCCCAGTGGCCCTAGGGGCATTTTGGAGCATCAGTAGGTGCCTTTTGGCCCTCCACGTCCTGCCCCTTGCCCCAGCCCAGCCCTGCCAAGCCCTGTAGCCCACAGCTCCTGCCGAGCCCCACACCAGCCCATGGTGCCCTTTCCCAGGTGGCCATGTCAGGATGAGCTGGGCCCCCACCATGGCTCTGCCATCCCAGGATCCTCTGGGAAGGAAGTGGAGGAAGCTATGGGCATGGAGGGGACCCTGCCCCAAAATGAGCCACGGGGGGGCTCAGCCTTGGGGGACCCCTGGGGCGCCCTGCTGAGCCATCCCAGGGCTGGGGACAGCATGGAGGCTGTGGAGCCATCATGGCCGCTGTGCCTTTCCACCCCTCTAACGAAGGTTTCCTCCTTTAGAAAGTGCAGGTGGTCATCACGGTGCTGGACTACGACAAGCTGGGGAAGAATGAAGCCATCGGCAAGATCTTCACGGGCTGCAATGCCACCGGCACGGAGCTGCGGCACTGGTCCGACATGCTGGCCAACCCCCGGCGGCCCATTGCCCAGTGGCACTCGCTGAAGCCAGAGGAAGAAGTAGATGCAGCTCTCGGGAAAAACAAATAGGAAGATTTGCCGGCCAGCACGGCACGGCACAGCACTGCTGACAGTCGAAGCGACCCAGAGCTACTGATACCTCAGTTACGCAACCTTTGGTTTCGTTTTTTTTGTTCTGTTTTAAGCTGAAATACCCTTTGATGGCTGCGGAAGGGTTTCCAGACAGTCCCAATAGCTTCCAGGGGAAGAGGTTAAAGACACGGATGGTTCTTTTCGTTCTTCGGCATCTCTCCCTTCTGCTGCATGTCCCATCGCCTCCGCCTGTCATCCCTTCCAGGTGCAAAGCCACCGTCATGCCTGGGACCTTCCCCGGCAGCCGCGTCACCAGCCCGCAGCGTCACTGCTGCCGTCCTTCCCTTGGGTTCACGTGGGGAACCATCGGAGGTTGCATGGAGGTGATACTGGAGCCTGACAGTGTGAGATGACCAGATCCACTGTGCTTGCCTGGGGCATGAACAGCTGTGTGGACATCAAAATGGTGGAGAAGACCGCCTGCAGGAGACTCAGGTGCCTCCTGCTCCTGCTCTGCCTCCCTCTGTCCGGGAAGGGTGAGAGCTGTGGTTTTGGGCTGAGGATGGTGGAGTGCCCCTGGCCAGCTCCCGTTTGGCTTCTTCTGGGGTTTGCAGGTTTGCAGGACCAGCAGGGCCCCGCTGTGGTGGGGTGCCGAGCCCTCGGCCTTGCAGCTGGAGCTGCGGGGGCCAGTCTGAGCACGGGGAACCCCGGGGGGTCTGCTCTGAGGAGACACATGGTGGGATGTGCATGCAACGGCAGCGCAGTGCGGCCCACCCCCCCACCAGGTGGCCGTCATGTCCCCGGAGGCCGAGCGAGGACAGTGCTGGGTGATTTGCACGTGTGTCCCACCATGCTTGGTTGAAACCTGTAGCTCAAGATGCTTCCACAAGGCAGGTTTACGCTGAGAGGTCTCCAAATGTGAGGGGGACAGCCCCCGGAGCGGTGCCAGGTGCCTCCCCAAAGGCCATCGCGTGTCCCCAGGGCTGAGCCCCACCATGGGCACCCCAGCACAGCCTCGGGGCAGCCAGGGGGCTATGGGGAGCTCCAGCCCCACCGCCGCATCCCACCACCGTGATGCCAGTGGGGAGGGCGAGAGCGAGGCCATGGCCAACAAGGGACCAAAGCCCCTGACCCCTGTGAGCTGCTGCTCCCCACTAGGCCGTTGGCTCCTGGATCCACCCCATCCCGCTCCCCTCAGGGGTATAAGCCATATCTGTGTCCCTGACAGTGGGCAAGAGCTTCTCCGGGCCACCTCTCCCACCGTGGGATGAGCCAGGACCAAGCCCCTGTGCTGGAAAGCCAATGTTGTTCCCTGCAGCTGGGCGAGGGTCCAGCAGCCCTGCCCCGTTCAGCCCAGTCTGTACTGGAGCACTGACGTGAGCTGGTGTCCCCGTCCCAGCTCCGGCTCCCCAGCAGCCTCATGCTCCCTGCTCCGCTTTGCTTTCCTGGACTTGGTTTTGCGGGGTTTCGGCACAGTTAAACAGCGAAGGGGGTGGCATCTTTGGCGAGGGGGGCTTGCAGTGGAGACGCAGAGCTCTGGGGTGCAGCTGGGGATGCCCCAGGCATCGGGGACACTGCGCTGGGGTCCAGTGCCCAGGCTGGGACCTCGGTGCAGGGCGTCCCGAGCCTGGGGACAAAGTGCCAAAACTGAGCTCGCCCCAGTGCCATCGGATACTTCGGCAGCTCCCTGCAGCCCCCGCTTCCCAAAGGGCATCTCAGCCCCGACTGGAGGTGGGGAGACGATGGGAAACTTGGTGGCAGCCACAGCTCAAGGGGTTCAGGTTGGACACGGGGATGAGCCCCTTCCCCTGGAGGGACATGCAGCCCTGGGACAGGTCCCCAGGGAGGGACGTCTCCGTCCTTGGGGAGGTTCGGGGCTCGGTTAGTGAAGCCGCGGTATGGTGGTGGGGGAGGTTGGACCAGAGACCTCCAGAGACCACTTCCACCACCACCTCGGCTCTGCTTGGCCTGTACCCGGGGCCCGGCACGGCTGCTGGAGCTGCAGCTCGGCCAGGCTGGGTGAAGGTGGCACTGGGGCCACGCTGGGCTATGGGGACTTCGTGGGTCATCAAAAGTGAGCGGTCCCGCGGGGCCCTCTCCAGCTTTAATTTGTCCCTTTTCCTAACGGCTGTGCCAGTGTCAGCAAACAAGGTCCTGTCCTGCCCTGCTCCTGTAGCCACAGCGAGAAGAAATCTCGGGGTGCTTTTAATTAACGGGGAGCTGGGGGTGACTGATGCCCCTCGGCCGGGGGCACTGGCAGGAGTCGGTCTCTCAAATCAGTCTGGTTTCGAAGTTTGTCTGGGCACCGGGGGGGCATTTGCCTTATGTGGAAATGGGTTAAAAAAGAAGGAACTGGAGAGAGCACTAAAATCCTCTTGTTGGCGGTCTGCAAGCGTGCACGGCCCCGCAGCTTTCAGTGGGAAGCAGGCGGAGGTGTGCACGCACGCCTGTACACGTACACATGTGCACCCCCCATGCGCACCCCCACCCCTGCCTGCACCCCCAGAGCCGCCGCATCGCCCGGGGTCTCGCCCGGCAGCGGAGGTCCCACCCAGCTGGTTCCATTCGGACTCTTTACGCCTCGGGGCGGGGGGGAAACTGTGACTTTAATACATAATTTAATTTTTTTTAATAAAAGGGAAAAATAACCAACATATTAAAGCCATCTGCGCTGCCTCTGACCCCCCCCTTAGTCGTGTGTAGTTAAAAATATATGGAGACATAGCTGTATATACCATGAACAGTGCATGAGATGCAGCCACGTAGCTGTAGCAGCATGGTTAAAGCCGAGCGCAGCACTGCACGCTCTGCCCCACCGCTCGCCGCCGCCGGCACCTCCGTCCCGACCACGTTTCTCCAGCGAGGCAGAGACGGCGACGAACAAAACTCATTGCTCGAGTGCTCTCCACCACCCTGATTATTTCCCCCCAATAAAAAAAATAATAAAACCATGTAAAAGAAGAAAATAATGCCAAGAAGCAAAGCATGCCAAGCCAGTCCCGCCAGCGGAGGGTGAGCCGTCACCGACGCAGCCATGACTTCCATGTGTGTCTTGTTCCTGTGTCTTGTCGCATTTATACCATGGCCGGGTAGCGGCAACATCGTGGCTTCGGCGTCCTGTGTCGCGTTGGTGCATTTCACCGTCAGAGCAACTTTAGAAGCCATATTAGACCACGGTGTGCCGGGCCCCCCGGGGATGGGCACACAGGTGAGCCGG